CTATATAAATGCTATAAATTGCATAAGTGTTGTATATTATATGAATAACATATACCATTATTCACTTTATTTTAGTAAATGAGTATAAAGATGATCAAGATGATTTATTATTCGGTAGATTAAAAAAGTGATTAATGTTTACAAATACTTATTTAGGACAGACCAATTTAATTCAGTAGTTTATGTTATCCTCCTTCTGCCTTTCCTCTCACTATATATGCAAAAAATTTCAGAAAACTCTTATAATATCACAGATCATTTCAGAAATAAACTCTATCCAAACCCTTTTTTGTGAAAAGGATGTAATGTAAACTACTGAATTATATTGGTCTGATCTTGCTACTAATTAATACCCTTCAGATTACTATTCTATTTGATCAATGGGTATTGCAATATAAAAAATATATATAATATTTGATAATGATTAACATGGTAAATACAACAAAAGTATACATTGTACCATAAATTTTCTAAATAGCAGCATGGGCATTAATTCGAATTTTTGCCTGAATTAAGCTTAATTTGGGCCAAAATTCTAAAAGAATGCTTATGCCTGCTATTTTGAGAATTTATAGTAATAAAGACAAGTTTAAAGTATGATGTTTGGCATATAATCTTGACAAGCAAAAATAAGAATATTAATAATTATATTAGAGAATTTTAGCAATCAGATCCTTCAAAAATAACTTATATTTCTCAATATTAGTGCTTATAGATATTCTGAATTAACGTGTATCTTAATATACATAGCACATAATTTATTATGTGATAAATGTGGATAGTGTTTCTATTTTAATCTTATTTTGCAATTCTTAGATAAATTTCACTTTTTCTTGGTCTCTTTTTGTTCTTTTTTTCCAGCTTAACATTTCTGATTCGAGTTCAATATTATTTTCTTATAGTTGATTATTAACTATTTAACTCAGTTTTTCCTTAGTACTCTTCTGTTGCTCTAAAATTTTCTTGTGAATAAATATTATGCAGTCTTTTTTCTGTTCTCATTTCTGAAACAATCTTCATATATCCAGATTCTGAATTTATCATTCTTGTTGGTTTCTACTTTCACCCAGTATTCTATGTTAAGAGTTTTCTTATTCTTGCTATGCTTTTTAATTATTTTTCTAACCTTAAGGATATTTTTTCTTTCTTCAAGTAGAATCTATTCTTTGAGTCTTTTATCTGTCTTGATTTCAGTTAGGATTGTCCTCATGCTTATATTGTTTTTTTCTTTTTTCTAGTATTTTCTTTTGACTCTTTTTGTTCTCCTATATTTGATTATTTCTTCTTCTAGCTTCTGAAACCATTTTGTCTTCTTTCCTCCTGTTCTTGTTGCTCTATATATTTTTACTTGTTTTCATATTATTATTCTTGTTTTGCTCTGATTGAGCAGTTGTTCTAATATAAAAATGTTGTAGTTTTTATATTAAAGGAATTTCTGTCTATCTTATTCTGTTAGTATCTTTATGATTTCAGTTCTTTTTTCTGCAAGTCTGAGATGTTTTTTGATTTTTTCTAACTAGTATAATTACTAGTCAAAAAGATGAAATTCAACCCCAAATCAGCCAGAAATTGACCAAAATTCGGCCACAACTCACTAGTCAATTGGCAAATTTTAGTCGAACTCAAGTTGAATTGGCCAAAATAATCAATCTAGATTTAACCCAAAAAATATCAAAAAAAAAAAGTAGCTGATTGTTTAAATCGATAACCGATTATAGGTTGATTGTATAAATCAGTAGTCAATTATAGGCTGATTGTTTAAATCAGTAGCCAATTATAGATTAAATGCTTAATTTTAATATTTGTTATAAAATCAGGTATCAAATTTAGACTGAATGTTATAAACATTCAGCCTAAATTTGATACCTGATTTTAGGTTAAATATTAAAATTAAGCATTTGACCTATAATTGGCTACTGTTTAAACAATCAGCTATCTTTTTTTTTCTTGGTATTTTTTTGAATCGAATCTAGATCGATCATTTTGGCTGATTTGACTTGAGTTCGACTAAAATTTGCTAATCAACTACCAATTTGTAATCAAATTTTGGCCAATTTCTGGCTGATTTGGAGTTGAATTTTACTTTTTCAGCTAGTAGATACCTCAAGTTTTTTTACCTCCTTTAATATTTGTATATTTAAATTATTCTGCAGTTTGGATTTAGTTAGGTTTTTTCATCTAATTTTAGCACATATCTGTAATTTCTTAGATTAATCTATACTTTTTTTAGGTGTAGCTATATAGCCTCTCCAATTTCTTGCTCACTATTTAATTGTACCAGTAGTTCTGTAAAGTGATATACAAATTGTCATTGCCAGATCGATTAAAAACTTACTATCTTCTTATGAGTTACTAGTGAGTTTAGTGATACTTGTTATTCTAGCCTTGTTCTTGAGTATCTTTAGCATGAAGCTCTGTAGCTAGTCATATCATTATCTTGATAGAATTTTTAGCTATGTTTTAAATTCTATTCTTGGTAGAAGAACCATATTGTTGATATACACCATATGTGCAAGAGAGGCCTTCTTCTTGCTAATTTATTTTGTAATTGTATATACTTCTTTCTTAATAATATTCTCTAATTGTTTGCTTCTATTTTTGGCTACCAGCCAAATGCCCAAAAATCTTGTTGGGTCTTTCTCTTTCTTTCTTTTTACTACTTCTTTGTTAGAGCCAAATTTAACGCTTACAATTTCTTTCTCGTAATCTTTTTCTGGCTTGATAACTAGTAGCTCAAACTTTTTCAGGTTAATCTCTATATCATTAATCTTGTAAATTTTTTTTGCAATTTTGATTGTACTTTTTAAATCTTCTTTAGAGCTTGCTATATATGTTTTATCATCTGTATATGCTATTACTTCTATTTTAAAGCTTTGTTGTTTAATCATGTTGCTTCTAATATCTTTTGGCCATTCTACTACTATTCGGTATTCTGCTCTTTTTCTTTTCTAAATTGCTACCAGCAAAGGGTTATAGAATATTCTCCAGACAAGAAGTGATATGACTTTTTCTTGATCTATACCATCTTTTGCAACAAATGTTCTGTAATTCTTATACTTGTTATAACTTTTATTTCTCTTCTATAGTATAGCTGTAAAATAAAGCTTTTTGTAACTTGAAGCAACTTGATCTTTTCTAGTATTATCTCTAATATTTCTATTCTGACTAAGTTGAAGGCCTTCTTTATGTTCTAAAAAAGCAACCAGATTTCTTTTTTTTGTTCTTTTGTATCTTCTAGCAGACAGTTGATAAGATATATCGGTGCTACTATTCTTTCTTCTAGAAGGCCTGTGAAGATTTTTTCTTTCAAAATTTCTTTTTCTTGCAGTATTTTACTCAGTTTGTTATTTAAGACTCTAACTACCATTTTTCAGAAAATCTCTAGCAGAAGGATTGGTCTTATATTATTCAAATTGTAGTATCAGTTTTCTCTTTTAGATATTGGATAGAGCATGCCTATCTTCTATTTTTCCTTCTGCTAAGCAATTGCTTGCCAAGCTTCTAAATAATTTCTTTGCTTTTTTTTCTAACTCTTTGAGGAGAGAGTATGTAATTCCTGTGGGCCCTGGTGCTGACTTATTCTTTGTATAATTTAGAGTTTCTTTCTATTCTTCTTCTGTTACTTCTTGTTCTAGATCTTTGTAGTCCTCAATATTAACCTCTTTTATCGGTCTATAAACTTCTTTCTGATTTTTATTCATTATTTTAGAATTTACTTTTCTTTTCTTGAACTGCTTCTCGAAGTATGTCTTTACATCTTCTAGTACTTTTTCTTCCTCTGTTATGAGTTCTTCTTCTCTATTTTCTTCTTTGAGTATTCGATCTATTTTTATGCTTTGATGTGGTTTTCAAGTAGACTATTAATTGTTGCGGATGATCGTAAAATCAGATGATGGTAAAATTTAGGGGTCTCGATTTGAAAATATAAGCCCTACCAAAATCCACCTATACTCTTTTACTAATAACTCTAACCCTAAATCCTAACTTAACTATAAAAAAAAAGCTGACAAAAAGGCCCTAAAAAATTTTAAAAATTATACATAAAATATATCCAAATTTCACTATCATCTGATTTCACGATCATCTATGATATTAATTATTCTTCTTTGATCTGTTATAATCATTCTGTATTTTGCTTTTATGCAGTTCCAGATCTTCTCTTCTTCTGCTTTTTTTCTTCTTCTTTTTCAGTCTTTATACAATATCTTCTACCAAGTTTTTGCCTTCTTATATGTAATTTCTTTTTGTTTTTCTTCTCAAAATACTAATGTTTTTTCTTTATCTTTAACCTTTTCTAGTTTCTACCTTATTTGTATTCTGTTTATTAGGCTTTGCACTTCTTTTATGATCTTCTTGTCTCTCTCTAGTCTTCTATTTTTCTTGATTCTGCTATACCAGTTTCCAAGCTTTTGTATATTATTTTTTTGTTTGGCTAGATCTTCTGATAATATGCTTTTTCTCTTGATCTCTGGTGTTTTTATCTTCTTTAGGAGTGTTAAACTTGCTGCTTTTCTGATGCTTAACTCTATAATATCCTATAGGTTTTCTATTTGATCTTCTTTTGCCTTCTTTACTTCTTGTTGCTTTGCTTTTTAGGAACTCTGCTTCTCTTGTTTTTTCTTCTCCTTTTTTTTTTTTCT